CTCTCATCCGCATATAGTCGCTGCTCTTCTGCCACGGGAACCACTCTCCTCCCCTACCTCTGCCTATATGAGGCTCTTCAGACGCCTACTTTTTGTCCGTTATTTTCCTCAGGGCCAGATAGTGCGTAATATTTTCGGAGCGCTTGCCGAACTTGCCAATTCTTTTGAGGAAATGGAAGCTCGAGACACTGTGTTTCACATTGTTAACGAACATCTGGGGTTTCCTGCACTTCGTTTGTGGGCCGATGCCACAGCTATTCAAGCGACATCTGTGGAACAGCGGATCTACAACTCGCAAGCATTAGCTTCTTGGTTGTCAGATTTCTATGTACCTCTCTCTTCAGCCCTCTCTTTCAAAGTATCTAATTCCCTGCTACTTCCAGATGTACTTTCAGGAATCAGCAATCACTTGGCCAGTCCTAGACAAGATGTTCGGCTTATCGGGATGGCAGTTGGAGAGTGGATTGTCGGTTTCGTTGATTTGGCCTGTGACTCCGCCAGTCGCGATACACTGAAGTTCACTTACGAGGAGACGGATGTTGTTCAGCAACTTAGACCGTTTTTTTCACCAATTGCTCCCTTTACTCCTCTAAAATTACAGGATCCTCAAGTGACATCGGAAGTAGGTAGGTGCTAAAACAAAAATTAGTTGAGATTTTCAAAGTACTTCAACTTCTAACCAATAGTTATATGAACTACTTCTTTGTCTCTCTCTCCGGAACCATCCATCGCCTGGTAACATTGTCAGCCTTGCATTAAAAATACCGTTTTCACCACATTGTTTACCCGTGTGGGATAGGATTTGAAGCAGCAATTCCTGTTAGTCCAATTTATTTGACGTATCCGTCATATAAGCACGGAAGTGCTGGAGGTCTTACTCGGTAAAAAAAAGTAGCGATAACCGCATCAGAAATATGCCGTTGCGACTCACGAGACCATTATCAGTCGTGCGCTGGTTAAGGTTACTGCAACGTCGCCCACATCTACGTTCATCTTGCTAGGTAACTCTGTCGAAGATGTGTTTAATCAAAAAGCAGAAGCGAATGTGAGGTTAGCGAAAAAGCGAGTAAAATTTATCGGGTTACTTTTTCAGAAGAACTTGTAACTTTGAACAATTTATGATGACTTGTGCACGTACTAAATTGTCTCTCTGACTGCATACCGAAGACTGCTTCCTTTTTTGGATGAGGCGGGGTTCAATAAGTGCAAAGTTGATTCGGTTGTGCAAACTGAACTACTTGTTGACTAAATGATGTTCTGTGGCTTCGCTTTATCTTCCACGCTGGAATGCACTCGATCCGCCTCGTGTTCGTCTCGAAACATTACGGGACATTGCTCGCAGCTGGCACCGTTATCTCATCTGTTTTCATTTCAATCGGATTGCCTATTTGAAGGACAAATGTTGACTGATCTGTGATGTACGTGAGATTATGTGATGTAAGACATCAAAGGTTTTAAGAGAAATGCTTCCTCCATGCCGTCTTCTCTTCCCACAGTGGCCAGCAGTTTGAGTCCGTTCGATCTTGGCTACTTGCAGGTGCGTTAGTCCTGATCGCTGGGACATCTGGGTGTTTCTCTACTTATTTCTCATTTCCCAGGTCTTTCTGGCTGTATGGTAGCAATCTATGCTTGGCGGCATCCGGTTTCGGATTTGCCTGTCACCGTGGCCAGCCACAGGATGCCTGCAACTACAGAGAGACCATGAGTAGCTTGTGCTGCACCACCCACAACTCCAACCACACATCCCATATCCAGTGTAAACCCGAAGGACTGGGAGGCATGTGTATGAGAGCCACATTTCATCAACGGAGCCGGCCCACGCTCCTCCACAGGTAAACACACGCACGCTGTATTTGGGAATCAAACGCATACAAAACGGTGGCTGGACTGTAGTCCGCTCCACACTGAGTGCATGGAACCGCTCTTTGGGCCTAGCACGATCACAAGGACCGTGTACCCTTTCCCCTCCAGCAACGACCAACTATCTCCTAGAGCCAGTATGAACGATGTAGTGGGTAATAGACAGGTAGGCACCTTGTCAACATACACATCAAGCACAACCACACCGGGGATGTCAAACAACATTTACTCACTTAAAATGGCATTATCAAATAAAATATCTGTTCAAGAATACGACTATGCAGACATAACTCTTCCCTAAATTAGCATATGAAGTATGTTGGTTAGCAACGAATCCGCGATAAGTAAAAAATGTCCAGAAGTGACTCAGAAAATGCTACAAACGCAATAAGGTTAACGAAGATAAGCACAATTTCCGTAAGCAACGTGGAAACTTAATAGATTATTCCGGTAGGCAGAACAAATCAAATGAAGTGGAATGAAATTTATCCAGCTTAAAAAGACCTAGTTTAAATGTAAATTGGTTTAGCCCAACTGCGGTGTAGTAGCATCATGAATGCAACATCAGCCTCAGGTACTGGCGTACTGCTTTTTTGGTGGTGGTGGTGTTGGAGAGTGTAAATTAATCAGATCGGAATATTGGTAGCTATATTCATGGAACAGATACAAATGCGCCATTGCTACCTCTGCCGCTCCTTGTCGGATGGGTTTTATACTTTTTGTCGTTCAGATCTCGTAGTCCCTATCCGATTATGCTACACGTAATTGCTTAAGATCATCAATCGATTCCCTCATGCTTTTCTGCAGCATCCGTCGGGCTGGTCACCTCGCGATTCCCATGAGCTACCATGATCTGGGGGTGTGTGGTTAGTGTTCATCTAAAGGGTATGGTCTATTTAGCATATGTCGCCTCATTTCTCCGAAAAATCCAGACCAACTGGCAGACTTCCACTTTGATCAGTTGGCGCTCCCACTAGATATGACCGACCTTTCCTAAGCGCTGACAATTGAGGGTATATTCGTCAGTACGAACTGTCTGCCTCTCTAAACAATAGCTTAATACTGGCGGTACCGCATTGTTGTCCATCCTACCCTTGACGAATAAGCTGTCATTTTGACACTTTCATACATGATTGAAAATGGTGTGGATGTTGGTGATAGAATTTTGAGCGCATCGTTCCATTAATACAGCAATACTTTGCATTATAAATGCGTGGTAGACATGTTGGAGTTCGCAGCACTCTTCATCTACAAGTGTCTGGTCCAGTATTGTTAGTGCATTCCATAGTTGTCTGTTGTTCATCTGATAAGTCCGTAGGAGTTTGGGTGACCAGTCGTACATAATCAATCCGATCGCGAAGTTGAAGCCACAAATGGATCTAGGCCAATCCTGGCGCTCCGCTTTTGTCCTAATGAACTCAGGAAGCAGCTATCTCTAGACTCTTACTCTGTCTCTAGAGCCGCAGTGAAGATCGGCATAGGGCGTTGTTTCCCTCACACGCCCTTCACTAATACACAGTACTACTACGATCAACAGCATCGAAGGCGATTTCCCCTACGTCGCGTTCGTTTGGTGCTATTGCGTCTTGTCAGCCCTTTTCTCCTGTTTAAGAACGATAATATGTCACCCCTTGCTGGCGTTTCAATTCTAGCTTTTAGAACTTCCTTTAATCGGCATTCAGATACATACTTCTGGTAATCGTTGCATGCTCAAGCGCAAGTATTCTGCTTATCCTTACTTTACTTCTTTTTGCTTATTATCCACTTTGTGAACTTTAGTTACGCCTTGCTACTTCTGCTTTGAGAAGCTCGTGCTACGCAGCTTTGGTGTCGCCCTCTTCATTGCCATTAAAATTATCATTAACACATTCTGTTATTGACGAAAACCTACCATTCACACTGGGCCGCTGCATTTCCGACTGGCAGTGGGTTATCCAGCGATATTCTCCCGGATTTCTTCAGGCGCATATGTCACAGAACGGGGGATTCTGATATTTTTGTCTTACTATGTGTCTTAAATTGCTCTGCCAACTTGCACATGAATGTCGACAAACCCGGTTGCATGGTGTCCTCCGTGTGCCCGTCTTCTATCACTATCCATTGGCCAAATAGTTCACACGTCTGGATTGTAATCCAAAGGTCACTGATTCGAGCCTACGTAGATATGGACCACCTTGCATTACCTCTATCCCGTACGCGACTACATGTGATCTCTTGGCCGCGCGGTTTCTGTATGTCGTAGCGGCGTATTGCTGACATCCTTCTTTCTACCTCCGTTTGCTCGCTTACGCAGCCTGTGCGCACTTCTCGATAACTGAAATGCGCCACTAACTACCGGTCTTACTTGCACTTCTTCTTTGATCCCGGCCGTGTACCCTTGCTAAACATTTTCCCTCAGTTTAACTAGTTGATTTAAGCAACTAATCTTACAAGGATTTTCGAATCTTTCCCGACTTTTAGCTCACTTTTGGAGTTACTTGAGGAGCTTATCTGCTTGACTCAGGACAATTTCTTCCTGTGTTGATATGCGCGGCTCATTTCCTTAATTTTTGAACTAAGAAGGAACTAAGAGCAGTAATCTCCACACCCATTTACTGTCTTTATATTCTCAAATTTCATCCAAATAAATTTTGCTACACTTCAATTTTCACCGCTATTCTAGATCAGCTGATAGTGCACGTAATATCTAGCTTATACTCCATTCTTTTTCGTACTTATATTCACAACCAATTCGAAGTGTTGTGTGCCTCATTCCATTGTTTTATTTTCCTCCCTTCTCCAGAATGCGACCGCCAGACGGTGACTACTTCTGCCGCGACTCAGGATCATCCGGATGTTTTAGACAGCGATGATGATCCGGAACCCAGTAATCCCCCTAAGGCGACTCTGCCTCCGTTGCCACAACGTCCCGGACAGAGAAAGCAGCTCTCTTCATTCACCAATACATCTGAGCGGCGACCCCGTTATTTGCGTGAGTGTCTGGACGGGATGTTGCTTACAAAACCCGAAGACAATCAAATCAGTGTCGCTTGTTTTGAAGCTGCTGCTGATCTGATTTACGCTCATCCCCAGGGGGCCCGAGAACTAGCAACAGAGTTGGCTCATGTGTTCGTTCATTTAGAACCACCTGCTTGCCCGGATGAGGGACAACTAGCTACCAAACGTCACGCTGCTTTGGTGGCCTTGGGTGTCGTCGCTCCTAAACAATGTGCTCGATATCTGACCAACGAATTCTGCCAGCCAAACTGTTCTCTGGGTCAACGGCAAAATATTATCGCAGCCATTACAGACATCGCATGCACCTTGTCCACAACAGAGATTTCAGCCTCTCCAAAAGTACACGATCCACCGCCCCAGGGGGTTTCTGTTAAGACCGACCCCAAAACTCGTCGGTTTTGTAGCAAGCCCGCGGCTCCAACACAGACTGTGAACAGTTTCATTACAGTGGCTGGCGAGTTTTTCTTTCCTCTTCTGCGAAGCATTCCTCAGCTCTTCTGTTCTTCTCAAGCTGATGGTGTGTTTGCTCATCAAGATGCTAGTCTGTTGAGTAATTTGATAGCTTCCTTAGCTACTGTATATGCGTGTGCTCAGTTCGCTCCTGTTCAGCTTCGGATGGCCACCGAACTCATGGAAATTTTGCCCTCACTGTATAAACATTCTGAACCTGCTGTTCGACGGGCTGTGCTAATAGCAGTCGGTACCGTCATCACAACGACCCCATCCTCTATACTCTCATCCAACCCACAGATGTTTATTGGCGCGCCCCATATAGAGGAGACTAGCCTGTCACTTTACGGGCGGTCTCAGGCCTCTCCTCCCTCTTTAGTTTCTTGGTTGAAACGCTGCGCAACACTAGAGACTGATTCGGAATGCCAGCTACTTGCTTCGGTTGGGCTGTCTTCCTTGGTTGAACGGGCCCAAAGCTTAGCTGATCTGCGATAAAACGTCTGTGCTGTACATAGTCTTGTTTTGGCTTTACCTGTAAATAGTTTCATGAAATACAACTCTGTTGAGTCACTTTGTTTTATTCGGATTCCCTTCAACCATGTGTGAGTTGAACCGCTTGATGATTGATATGAACGAGCGCGAGTTTCCCCATTTTTGTGACATTCGTGTTTCCATTGATCCTCCAGACAGCGCCTCCCAGACCCTCTTCCAAGTACCTAACGTTTGCATTATCGTTCAAAGATGCAAATTCTACAAGTGACCGTAGAATATGATTCCATGCGCCCGTGATTTCGCCATGGAGGGCTCATTCTAATTACTCATAAATCATCGCTCTCTTAAGTCAGAGTGATCTCTGAGTCAACCGCTGTCGAGTGTCTTCCCAGTAAATTTTTCACTTGTTACATTCTCCGGAGCAGGACTTTGGAAAACCGGAACTCATGCTCCACTTACGATTGTGTGTTCTATGAGTACCACATTCTCATTAATCAGTGTCTCTTTTGTTTTTTTCTCCCCTTCCCCTTACTGTCTGCACCTATCACGCTCTAGTTAGTCCTTAAAGGCGTCTGTAGTGCGCCGGTTCTTAGCACCGATGTTTGTTGCCACGCAGTCACAAGCAGTTGCTTGCAGAGTAGTAATACTGCTAGACTGTCCGTATATGCACGTGCTGGATCCGGCGACATGTGTTTTGCAAGCCGTACAGTTGAACGACTCACCAACCGGCCGACCCACCGTCAACGGATTTCTGATTTAAAAATCCCTTTTCCGAACCTAGGCTTTCATCCCCCACGAGGTTTTCTGCGTTGGTGTTCCATATTTGATTGATCTACAGGTAGTGCTCTTTCACAGCCTGTACCTACACTCGCCTTGCATACTAGAAATTACCGTCGTAGTCGTTTGCTTAGATTTCCATCTTTCCGCTTCTGTCATCGGCGTTGTGCGAACCATGCCATACAGGAGGCATTTCACCAAACTGGATCTCATTAAATGAACGTTTACGCACTATTACCGACCCGTATTCTAAAGGATCAGAAGCCTGTTTGGTAATCCCGGGGCCCGGGCGACTTTCGCAGTATCCTTAGCTCACGCGCGACCGTTGGTGGTTGCGTGTCAGCAAGGCGTCGGTGCTACGTACCGGCGTACTAGTGATACCTTTATTTGGAAGCTACACAGCTGGATTTAAAACAGGCCATCTGGTCTTCGTTGTTTCCGTGTGTGTTCCCATTACCAGTAGCCTCTTGTGCATCAAAACGCGGTACATCGTCGGTTTTCACTTTTCATCTGCCTAACCGGAACTTGAATTTATTATCGTTACCGGTGACACGGATACTAGTGCCACAAATCTGGTTACTTCTTACTTGGTACCAATAACGCTTATTTTGACCATCATTTTCCCTCGCACTCCTATGAACCGCCACACAATCTTTCACATCACACTGCTTGTCGTTCATTGAACGAAAGCTTCTTTGGCATCAATCTACCATTTTATCACTAGGTACGCCAAACACACTTGAATGAAGATTGACCATTTAGCAGAGCTAACTACTCAGATTCAAAATGCGTGTTCCTCCGTACATACAGCTTTCCTTTCTTCTCACCAGATGGAAGCACGCAGCTAAAGTCGACTTTCATCTCTCTTATATTCGCAACCCGTAAGACAGATGCATCTTACTGCGCCAATGCTAGGAGTTTCACTTTTAACACGCCGCCAGTCCGCTAACTTGACGACAGCCCAATTGTTTTAGCAATAGCTACACACGTTGGACTCCGACTTGCTTTCATAGATAGCTTTCTAAATTCACTTTAAACCATCTGAGAATTTTCAAAGTTTCCCTGCAGATGACGTGGACCGGTGCTTTTTGGGATGAGAGCTGATATTGACTTCGGTAAGTCAATCAGTCACCGAGGATGACTTGATCTTTGTTTCAGTAATTCCAAATGACAGATCGCCCGACTGGCTATGTTGTCATAGTTTATCATCTCTGTCATGCAGACCTTACCAGCGAGCACTACAATTCACAACACGGATAAGGTACTTCTTGAAATGACACCTTTCAAGTGGTCTGACTAGTGGAAAACGTTTGCGGCTCCCTGCGGGTGTGGTTGATCCAGCTACTTTCTTTGACACTTTATATCACACTAAGAGGTCACTTCAGCTCCACACTTTTGGCCTTTTTACATGGTGGTTGTGAGATGTTATTCTAACATTTTTGTGGTTTTTTAGCGCCAACTTGTTCTTTACTATTCTTTCACCACAGCTTACCTAACCATGGCAAAACCTTATCGCCGAGTTAAGCAAACATATGGTAAGTAATGATGATATCATCACACCAGCGTGTTCTACCTAAGCTTTACTGCTACGCAACGGTATGTGACCCGGGACATCAACAGCACACCCAAACCTTGACAGAAATGGAGACTCAAACTCGGAGCACGGCAACTGCCAGTTGGGTACCTAAACTACAGTACTACAAACGTGTTTGTTGGATCTTTATTCTTTCTCAACTGCTTTGTTTTTATCATTTGTGAACGGCTTTCCATGGCACTTGTATTGTTCGCATCGTAAGCGAAAGATCCCATCATGCGCATCCCGATGGTTACGCGCTGACCGAGAACTTCTAGTTATCTGTATCCTTAGTGGACATTACATGCCGTTGACAGTCCAGTTCCTCGGGACACTCACTCGATGCGCTAACAATTAAACTGCTAAATTGTTGACTCCCCAAATATTAATCGAGGAGCTCATTGGGCTGATCTGACGAGCACCCCTTACAGCTTCTATGCATAATTCATCTTTGGTAGCATCTGTCCTCGAGTTTGTATCGAGGTACATGGCACTCACCGAGTGGCGGATTGTCCTGAACTCAAATCGACCACTTCACTACTAGCCATAGATGGCGTGCATCTGTTGTTACTCGAGCTGGAGCGCTTGACTTGATTCCGTCTTTGCTATTGTCCACCACTACAACCCAGATTGGTTGAAGTTTTTCTGACAATTACTCACTAGATCTACTCGCATCCTACAAAGTAACAACGACAATCTTAATTGCACTGTTCGTGGTCACTGACGAACGAGGTGGATGAGCCCGTTGGGGAGGGTGAATTTCCTCCACTACACCGTATATGAGGCACACAAGACCTCATTTTGAGGCGTCCGAATAGTTGGGGAATTTCTGAAGTTTTCGTAGGTGCATTTGAAGCCCTGTCACCGGTATTACAATGTCCACTATCCCCTAACATCATCTGAGTAGCAGTCTCAAAGGTGACCGGTAGTATTGGCAGATGACGACGACCCATGAGATAGTGAATACCATCCGGTGCACAGTTCTAAACGAGGCTATATGCGAAAGACAATTGTTTGGAAAGTAACTAATTCGCGGTCACTGACTAGAATACTAGACCGAGCACTTTGATGAGCAGTTTAGCTGGCTCATTGTATCCGAGTCATTAGTTGGATCGCCTTAACACACCCAAGTTACTGAAGCCACCGTCCCACTATGAATGCTATGTGACACGAGGTGATGCCATTAACGCGAAGCAAAGCGCCTGTCACAACACCCCCGACGGTTTCCCAAAAGGGTTGGCGACGCGGTTTGCCCCGACGATGCAGTACTCCTGATTCGTAGTCGACCATTATCCTCTGAATCTTTATAAATGACCGAAAAGCATATTCCTGTAATTATCAAGCCACCAGTTTCACTTTCATTACCACAAAACCACTCGCATGCATCATGTCCCGGCGGTCCACTGGTCTTCGTGGGAGTAGGTTCCGGACAAATCAGGATGGTTTCTCCCCTAGAAGGAGTACTGGTCACACTTTTACTCTCTTCCCAGCGCTTCAGCATCACAAAACAGATTTGATAGTCTTCTTTGGCTCAATAGCTACTTTCGATTATGTTGATCACACCTGATGTGGCGGTGCCAATATCTAAAGCGTGCGATATGCTCTCAATATGTCGAAAATCGGGGTCGCGTAATGCTCTTAAGAAAACTGCTCCGTTTTCTCTTAGATATATGGGACGCTGCATCCCTGCGTCTCTCTTTGACTGTTTTTTTTCCGTTGATATGCACTCATCATCCTCTGTTTCAGTTATCATAGCTGATCTACTGAAGTCTTATAGGAAATTGCTTTCCTGATAGACGTTAACATGTCTTTTACATTCACTTTATATCGTGATCGTTAATGAAACGGTCTTCAACCGACTACCAGAATCCTCCTATCCCATTGCTTTCAATGCGTCACCGGGCATCTCAGGCTTAACTCCGTTTATTTCGAATGACGCCGCCTCATCATCTTTTCGGATCCCTTCCCTCACATCGTCAGGTCTGACATTCACGATATTTTCGACAAAACAACGTTGAACCATTCAAATCGGGTCATTGGAGAAGCAGTAAACGAAATGTAGAACCCATCCCGAATCGCACTGCGAAGGTACTATCACAGCGAGTCGTGCGCCATGGTCCACCGGTGGCTTTGCAGTTGCTAGAACCTGGTTAAAGCCCTGTACTTGTTCTGTCTTTTTTGACAGGGTCCGCAACGTTAGATGTCCGCAGTTTCGTAATGGGTTCTCTTGAACAGGTCGTGTCGGTACCATGGATATTAATAACAAGCGTTCCCATAGCTCACTCCACGAATCTCTGCTAGTTCACGTAATTCGTTTAATTATGAGTTGGTTTGTTCCTACGGTGATTACAAAGATTCCTCGCGGTTTCACTACTTTCGGCCGCTTATTCTTACAACCGGTATTTTAAGTCTAAGCGCCTTACTATTTAAGTATTAGTAGCTAACGGTTGTCGTTGCTAGTTTAGTGCATCATCATCACCATTCTACACGTTAGCTGGAGGTGATGAATACCTCAAATGCTGTGCCGCAATATAATACAGGCAGAGACCCGCCTGCAAGACTCGAGCTCTGTGCTCACTTTCTGATCCCCTTCAGGTGACACCAGCAGCACCCTCTCATTGCGCCTATCCGGTGATGATGCAGCTTCGAGTAC